TAATTTTTAAAAGGTCGATTGCATAAGAACGCAATAAATGAATAACAAGACAAATTTGGTGGGATTGGTATAGCCTCTATCATCCAGTCTCACTTTATGTACGCATAAACCCTGGAACATTTCCCGACTTTCTTTGTAATTGTTTTCTACATTTGTTTTTGAATCTTATTTAGTGCGCGGAAACATTAATTAAATATACAACTTTCGTGTTTAGTATTAACTTAGTAATTATGACCATTGGGTATGAATCCTTATCACGAGGAAAGAATGATTCTAATAACAAAAGTGGATAAAATTTATAATTTGGACATTTCCTTTTTTCATACATTAGGCAAATCTCCGCAATATCTTGTTTTGATTCAGAAATTGGGCGGATGTAACATGAATACGATAACTAAACTATGAGTCATAATCCAATTTTCAACGTATTGTGATGTGTTATTTGTACACATAGTAGGCCCTATACACAATGGAAATATGCTTGAAAAACGATGATTTGAAAAAAAAATATGATACATTTTTGGATTAGGTCTACTGTTATCATTTCGTTTTTCATATTCAAAATTACTTCAAGCATTTTCGTGAAACAAAGTGGTTCTAATTAAATCACACGTAACCAGCCATAGACGAAAAAAATATTTCTCTAACACCTCCAAAGTATACTTTTTCAGAAAATCCTTGTTTACTAGGACCTACTAAAATCATTGAATTCCATATATTCTTTCAGATATTTTCGAAAATATACATAAAACGCTCCCTACCAACAACTTACCTAAATCCTGCACTTGCCAAATCAATGTAATTTTTTTCACTCCTCCAACCTCGAAAGGAATTCAACCTCTTTTCTAAAGAGGTCACTTTAAGCATTCCTAACGATGAGGTTTTCAAAAACTAGTGTAAATGTGACGCTCTTCAACAGTAAATTAACGCTAAAAATACATTCATACTAAAAATACACTATCTTGGAATTTCCCTTCTATATTTATAGCACACGTTAATATGAGCAGATTTCCGGTTTATTACAAAAGCCGAAATGTTGTTTGTAGACAAATAATTACAGCTGCTAATATCCGTGCTTAATTTTGTGATTGAAATTGGAATTATAGAAAAGATCCATAGTTCATAACTAAATATGCATAATGCAACATAGGAAATAATCATACCTTAGTCTTAGAAACCGGGATTTTTTTTTGTAACTAAGCCAATTAGTAATAGTGTTCACAGCTCACCGTCGAAATTTGAGCCTTCAATTCCATGTGTGTCCGGAATTATCTGCGAATGTAAGTTAAAAAGACGAATCTTTTCCTCAGACTCTGCCATATAGCCTATATATTGATAAAAAAAAACATCTATGGAAATAGGTAAATAAATTTTCATAGTTGGAGATATTTTTGAAGTAATTATTATTAGTTATTATTTTTCGTACATTTCTAGTACTTTTGAAAACTATTTACATGTATTCAAGACTAATACCAACAACCTCTCCCTTCAAAGGGTCCTTTGTCAGAGAAAAAAAATTCAATTTGCCTCCTCCGACTTCTCCTTCGGGACTTCGGTCAGTATTCATCGTGTCGATCATTAATTAAATCTTGGGACCAATTCTTTCCACATATGTGGCAATGTGCGAGATATTTCTTCCGTTCATCATGTGACAAAGCCAAGGAGATCGAATCCAATAACTTTCTAAATCCTTAATCAAATTTGGTATTGAGCCTCTATTGATCTTAAAATACATATTGAATCGGTTTTTTTTTTAACCTCGACAGCACCAGAACATAGTTCGAAATATGTATAGCCGTTCTTCGGAAGATCAGAAAATATTTAGTATTAGGCAAAGGATTCACTCGGAATATGGCGAAAAACTAGAGTGTCCTATTCGATGACAACACCAATAGAAAGTAAAATAGCTCACTCGTCGTTGCCGTCTGAACTGACCGAGTCTTTTAGGCAAGAGTTTCAGTACGTATCATTTTAAGAAAAATGAACATTTTGTGAAGATGTTACCGACATGATCTATTTGAACGACAGTCGTCACCTAAATCCGAATTCAACGACTTATAAACCTAGACGATCGCCACTCTCACTTGTATTCAACGACTTGTAAACCTAGACGAGCATCCCTCTCACCCGTATTCAACGACTTGGAAACTTAGACGATTCTCAATCTTGCCTGTATTCAGCGACTTATAAACCTTGTCGATTGTCACTCTCACTTGTATTCAACGAGCTATCTTATTCAATGTGAGTATAATGATAATATGATCTGTAAAATTTGTTTTATTCAACTTGAGTATAATGATAATACGATCTGTAAAATTTGTTTTATTCAACTTGAGTATAATGATAATACGATCTGTAAAAATTGTTTTATTCAACTTGAGTATAATGATAATACGATCTAAAAATTGATTTAATTAACTTGATTAAAATGAAAATACCATCTGTAAAATTTGTTTTATTCAACTTGAGTATAATGATAATACGATCTGTAAAAATTGTTTTATTCAACTTGAGTATAATGATAATACGATCTGTAAAAATTGTTTTATTCAACTTGAGTATAATGATAATACGATCTGTAAAATTTGTTTTATTCAACTTGAGTATAATGATAATACGATCTAAAAATTGTTTTATTCAACTTGAGTATAATGATAATACGATCTGTAAAATTTGTTTTATTCAACTTGAGTATAATGATAATACGATCTAAAAATTGTTTTATTCAACTTGAGTATAATGATAATACGATCTGTAAAATTTGTTTTATTCAACTTGAGTATAATGATAATACGATCTGTAAAATTTGTTTTATTCAACTTGAGTATAATGATAATACGATCTGTAAAATTTGTTTTATTCAACTTGAGTATAATGATAATACGATCTGTAAAATTTGTTTTATTCAACTTGAGTATAATGATAATACGATCTGTAAAATTTGTTTTATTCAACTTGAGTATAATGATAATACGATCTGTAAAATTTGTTTTATTCAACTTGAGTATAATGATAATACGATCTGTAAAATTTGTTTTATTCAACTTGAGTATAATGATAATACGATCTGTAAAATTTGTTTTATTCAACTTGAGTATAATGATAATACGATCTGTAAAATTTGTTTTATTCAACTTGAGTATAATGATAATACGATCTAAAAATTGTTTTATTCAGCTTGAGTATAATAATAATACGATCTGTAAAATTTGTTTTATTCAACTTGAGTATAATGATAATACGATCTGTAAAATTTGTTTTATTCAACTTGAGTATAATGATAATACGACCTGTAAAAATTGTTTTATTCAACTTGCGTATAATGATAATACGATCTGTAAAAATTGTTTTATTCAACTTGAGTATAATGATAATACGATCTGTAAAATTTGTTTTATTCAACTTGAGTATAATGATAATACGATCTGTAAAAATTGTTTTATTCAACTTGAGTATAATGATAATACGATCTGTAAAAATTGTTTTATTCAACTTGAGTATAATGATAATACGATCTGTAAAAATTGTTTTATTCAACTTGAGTATAATAATAATACGATCTGTAAAATTTGTTTTATTCAACTTGAGTATAATGATAATACGATCTGTAAAAATTGTTTTATTCAACTTGAGTATAATAATACGATCTGTAAAATTTGTTTTATTCAACTTGAGTATAATGATAATACGATCTAAAAATTGTTTTATTCAACTTGATTAAAATGAAAATACCATCTGTAAAATTTGTTTTATTCAACTTGAGTATAATGATAATACGATCTGTTAAATTTGTTTTATTCAACTTGAGTATAATTATAATACGATCTGTTTAATTTGTTTTATTCAATGTGATAAAATGATAATTCCGTCTGTAAAATTTGTTTTATTCAACTTGAGTATAATGATAATACGATCTGTTAAATTTGTTTTATTTAATGTGATAAAATGATAATTCGGTCTGTACAATTTGTTTTATTCAACTTGAGTATAATGATAATACGATCTAAAAATTGTTTTATTCAACTTGAGTATAATGAAAATACGATCTGTAAAATTTGTTTTATTCAACTTGAGTATAATGATAATACGATCTGTAAAATTTGTTTTATTCAACTTGAGTATAATGATAATACGAACTGTAAAAATTGTTTTATTCAACTTGAGTATAATGATAATACGATCTGTAAAATTTGTTTTATTCAACTTGAGTATAATGATAATACGATCTGTAAAATTTGTTTTATTCAACTTGAGTATAATGATAATACGATCTGTAAAAATTGTTTTATTCAACTTGAGTATAATGATAATACGATCTAAAAATTGTTTTATTCAACTTGATTAAAATGAAAATACCATCTGTAAAATTTGTTTTATTCAACTTGAGTATAATGATAATACGA